GGGTAGCAGTGAAATTGCCACGTCAGCAATAATACAACAATATTGCAGTACTCGTAAGCTTTATGTTAGAATATTATAAATCATAAAGCTTATGATTATTAGAATTATGATTATTTGTTAAATTTTATGGAATTAATGTATTATATTAATTAAGTAAAGTATAAAAGTTATATAAATGAATATTCAAATTAGAACAAAAGATCTTTATTTTACAATTCGTTTCTGAGTATTTGAATTTTTTTTAAATACCTATAATTTTAATATAGTTAAATATAATGACATTATTATGCAATCTAATTATTTTTTTCACTTAATTATCTCTTGATGAACAATACTCCATTAATCGATTTATTAGTACGATGATGTAAGTATGATTCGATAGAACAAAGTGGGGTTTTGTACCACGTAATTTCTTAGACAAATTTTTTTTCTAAGTTAATCCAACGTGAATGCACAAAGGAGCTTAAATTTTATTTGCTACTTATTGAGGTCCATTTTATTTCCATATTTATATTTATTTTTGTTCTCGATTATTAGTTATGTAAAATACGCGTCGATGTAACATCGATTTTTGCCTTTGTATTACTTTACTGAAAATCATCTAAGAGCTATTTTGATTCTTATTAATATTTTCAATAATTAACTTACATTTGTTATTCAATGTATCGTATAATAAATATATTCAATATAGAAGCCGAAGATTTTCAATAATCATCGAAAAATCGTCTGAACAATTGATGGCAATTTAAATAACCTTTTCAGGCATTATTTACTTTTTTCAATATTTATATCTATATTGTTAAAAAAGAATTTTACATTTAAAACTCGCACAATATAACACAAGTGACTACTTTTGTACGTTCAATGTTTTCATATTTCACTCGAGCAATGCACTCTTCTTTCATTTAGCTTTTATTTGGCTATGCTGTATAAGTAAGTAAGCGGATATTCTTTTCTTCATCGACTGGGCGTTTATTCTCAGGCAAGGGCTTTGACATTATTTATGGTGCGACAACATCCCAAATGGCTAAACTGTCCATGAACTAACGAAACGTATAATTATTATCGTCTTTATTTTTAGGGTTAGAAAAACAAAATCAATTTCATCACTAAATAATACATTTGATTCAATCGACTTCCTAATGATATTTATATGCTATAATGATGATTTTACTCATCTTTAATGTCAACGATATTGATTTTATTTACTTAATTTTTGCAAATGTCAATTATTATTTAATTTCTATTAGATTTTAAGGCGATCCACAGGACTTGAAAAATAAATTGATTATAATTAAGCACGAAAAAGCATAAAAATTGTGCAATTAATTTAACGAGTTAATATTAGTGATTTACATGATGTTCGTCGTTATTCTCATGTGTATTTAACAATTTTATTTTTCAAAGCAGAATTTACACATGAATAAGGCAGATTAGAAGTTTAAAGAGGATAGATATACGTCTATTCATATTTTAGTCGTTGGTATATTGTATGAAATTTGGAAGCGCATCCAAATTTCAATATAGCGATAAACAAGCGTCCATAACTTTTCTAAGAATTATTATTTATCTAGATTAATTTATTTATCTATTAATTATCTAGAAAAAAACTTAATGTTTATTTATTTATTTAATTTATGTTCATACTAAATTTATTCATTCGCCCTGATTCGTTTATTCCACTTTGATATCTAATTTCTCGATGACAATATACGATATTCCATCACCTACTCATCACATGATGCACATTCTTTGGATCTTTAATTATTTAATAAGATTTTTTAATATTTCATCGCAATCAATCGAGTATGAGCTTTAATAAAGAAATTTAACGCATCTATTAATTTTGATTTTATTCTTCAATACAATTATCCTACTTTTGATAATCTTGGAATCCGACTGCTAATGAAAATATGATTAGCAACAGGAAAATAATGAGAACGAGACGAAACTAAGAAATATAGATAAGTGAACAAAAGAGCTTGTCTTCGTTTATCCAGATGAATACGAGTCTCTTCTATTTATTGGGTAGCATTAACTATACTGCAACAGTTAAGGTTTACATTTTCCTTTAATATATTATTGTAAATTGTTGGAAGAATACGTACATGAAATTATTCATTAATTATAATCTAAACAGTTTTCTTTATATTTACACAACTATAATGTTACATGAGTATATCATTGTCTATGCATGATGCAGTATGTAGTCGAATAAACAATAAACTATCGATTTTGAATTTCAACAATTTAACATTTTATGAATGATGATTATATGATGATTTATAGCAAAATATATGTGTTTTTGTGTTTTTCATGAAAATTATCAACTAGAACCATTTGATGAAAAGCTTAAATAAACGCTTAACGATTGATTGTTATACATTTGTAGGGATATTATATTAATTTATTTACGAAATATGAGTATATAAAAAATATCAGTAGTGCTTTTAAATTATTCGTACTCATCCGTCAATTCAATGCTCAATTTTGTGACAAGTACTTGTAATTTATATCAACTCCATTTTAATAGCTTGAATCCTGGAATTTTTTTTGCAAGTAGACTTATTTTATTAAATACAAAGTAGGAGAAATACAATGACCTTAACTGACACATTCGAATGTTGACACTCGATGTTCATAATTCTGAGTCAAGGTCTTATCAAGTAAAAATGCTTCGGAGAATTTCTATTTTGGAAAACGCCGTGGCAGGCGTTTGCTTTTGGCTTGCGGAATCTTGGATTTATAATCAAATATAATGAAAGAACAATAATTGTTCATCACTAATATATTTCAATGAAATTTATTATTCTTACATAATGAACATTAATATTAAATCTAAAAATTGTACATACACAATAGCATAATAATTTTTATAATCAAACCCGAGTATTTAATCTTCCTTTTTTATTTTAGTTTTCGACAAATAACATGGTATTCGGCAAGACTAATATTAATCCTTAAATTGCTATTGCCTTAACATAATCAAAATATCATGAAATTGATGAACGAAGGAATTGTAAATACAACTAAGAAATTACACGTTAAAAAGTGTAAAAAATTGCAGTGTACCCAATAGCAAGAGTAATAATGAAATATCAGCAAAATAAATATCATCAGCTAAATATCGCTAAATACTTTAACTTTATTAGTTTAAGCGTACAAATAAGTTTTACAACTGATATTACATCTCGTTAATAGAAATATTTTGTTTAACACCTTATCTTAAAAACGCACCTACCATTCCTAATTTCCCTTTACTATGACATTTAATTTTCATCCACACATAACATAAAAGTCAATCATTATTCCACCAAGTTCACATAAACGCAATAATACGAGTAAAATTTATAAAGTTCCTATAAATAATGGCAATCCAGTAAAAATACATCCATACGGCTAAGTGAAAAGCTCATGCTTGTATTGCTTAATGTAAGATGAGGAATCGGTCTCGTGGTATCATTTGTACATGTGAGACACGTGCGCGTCGATACGAAGGCATTTCGGACGAGAGGAAGCTAAACGGGTCAATATTTGACCGTGACTCTTGATGTTTCGTTCGAAAGCCATCAAAGTAATCCCAAAAATACTCCTAAACTCATCGAGTTCTTAAACTACGCGACGCTCTGCTGTGAAATTGAATGGAGAAACAATCAGAGTGCATCCCTACGGAGCTTAATCCGACATTAATGCAAAATAGATTTATAACGCCGCAGTCGCTTCTTCTTCGTTTTTCAGCAGTCAGAAGGGATTAATTACGCACTTACATTGATATTTTCACGATAAATGCAAGCTCGTGCTTAATTTTTTCACGGCACGATTCAAATAGAGATTGTGATTACCCTTAACCACGTTTCACTCCGTGAATCTGATTGCAGATGTCGCGTTTAGTTGCGTTGTCTTGGGTTGTTTTAAAGTTGAATGGCACACTGGGGATTCAACATTTATCGGAGAATCTCGTTCGTACGAGCTTCGCGGTTAGCAAGCTACTACTTTATAACGTATCCCTTCGACTACTTTGGCAAGAAATTTTCATGAATGGTCTCTCAATTTTTAACTTATCATTCAGAAGAACTTGGTATTTTTATCTTGGAAATATATTTGAGCATGAATGAGGGAAAAAATATACAGTTTACTATATACAATATTACTTACGTTTCTTAAATCCTTTATTATCGATCGTTTAAATGATATTTCAACTGTATATATATATATATATATTAACATTAATAATTAATAATCATACATTAATAATATTTTCATAGACATTTTATTTTAGTCTATTGATTTCTTTTTTTTTTTGGTTTTTGTTTTCAGTCTTATTATTTCGTCCACGTAGATTTAACGATATAGATAAATTTTAATCAATCTATGATCAATTTTACAATGATTTTCTATTCGTCGCATCTAGTAGTATTTACAGTAGATATTTACCATCCTTATAGGAAATTTCTTCTATAAATAAAAAAGTTTCAATATCTGTAGTTCAATAAGATCGAATTAAAAAAAAAATTGTTTAATTCTTAATATATTTATAAATTATTTCATACAATCTCATTAACTAACATATCGATCTTAAGGATTAAACAAAGAGCCAAATCAATTTCGTCAATCGAACGCGAATTATGAAAAAGACTGAAGAATGAATGCGAAATGAATGCGAGCTTTAGAATGATAAAAAATAAATCTATGTACTTTCTAGAAAAGCACGAGATATTATATCTTTTAAGTAAGAAAGTAAGATGAAGCAGACATCGTAATCGAGTACATAATTTGGCAAAAATGTAAATTCATGCTGACTCTATGAATAAAAGCAACTATTGTCTGTAAAAGTACAAATGAAAAATATAAAATCTATGAATTTGATGATTTTTCGAATTTTTGTTTTTGTTGTTTTTTTTTTTTTTTATAATAGTCAAGATTGCGCCTAATTTCAAAATACTTTAGATTTCAATGCTTGTCTGCTATAAAGTCGGTGACACACCCGTCATTTTTAGCAGGTAACGTATCCGATGATCGTTCGATGCATGCTGCTCCTTTGGGTCGTGGCATTGACTCTGACCTTTCTACCATTTTTCGGATTCGGCCTTTATCAGAAAGTCACGCTGATGGGTGTGAAGTGCGAGCGGTACAGAGACGCCGCGAAGCTTATGGACGTCGCTTATGCTTACGTGTGGTTCTTCTTCGGTAAGTATTGCATTATATGCACATTCTTCGATTTTTAAATTTAATTTATAGCAGTTGTAATATGTGGCTTACAGATGCTGTGAAGCTTTAATTATTTACAGAATCGGTGAAAAGCTTGCGGTCATAATGGATCGCAAGGAATGAGTTCCGGAAATACAATAACGAGCTTCGATTTGGTAGAATTAAATACAACTTGTAGGAAAAAAACGTATTTGAAAAAATAAAAAGTAAATGCTTACTCTAACGCACGCTACTAGCGACCTTATAATAAGTCCAATTTAACATGAAATTTCCAAGCGATAAATTTATTATTAGCCCACTCCATCTCAGCGATTATGCGTCAAAGTATTCTATCGAAGCGCCGTACCTTGAAGCATAATCCTGCCTCGATTGATTCTCTCGTCGCGCACGTGAATGCAAATGAAGCGAAGCTGAGAAAAACGAGCGGATTATCAGTGGATAATGTTGGTTAACAATTGAAAATGCATCGCTTGTACTGCATAGGTACGGTGCTCTGCCTGTCGATCGTATGGTGCAACCTCGCAGTGGCAAGGGCTCTTAAGAGACTGGGGCGTCGAAACGGGGCCCTAAGGAGGATCTCGAGGGCATCGTCGAGGGCCAAACCGCTCCTGACCGTGGCTGGACCGCCTCCCGAGGTCGGCATCACCGCCGAGGAAAGAGCGTTCGCTAAGCTTATGGCTCTACTTTCCATATCTTTCCTTATTTGCTGGATGCCCCAGATGGTGAGTTTTCGCTTATAAAAACGAAAGCGGCCCTCTTTAAACGCTTTATTCTTTTCTTTTTCTTTTTTTTTTTCTTTTTTTGCCTTCAACAAATCGACATTAAAACTTTTAATCGTGATAATTTTGATCATCTATATTATCAATAGCTCACTTTACGATAAAACGTATACATTAATATGAAATAGAAGTTCCTTATTGTTGGTTAGAATTTGTGAAATAAAGGTCCTGGACGATTAGCCCAGCTTATTGTCTCGTTTCGAAAAGTTTCACAGAAATTTGAAAGTTAGTTTATACCATTGATGTAATGAAATTTAATGTCAGAAACTTAATTTCTCAATTTATCGTATTAGAAGAATTGGATGAGATCGCTAACTTTATAAACGTGAAATGTTTGATGGTATATGAGCTTAAGCATCACATTTACTGGTCAGGTCCTATCTCACATTTTATATTTTAATAAGCTAATGGGTAATTTTAATAAGCTGTCCCTTTTCTATGTATAGAAATCTATATACGACCGAGTTTTAAAATCGTGCTTGCATTATAATAGCTCCATAATAACATTCGAGAACAATATATGCGAATGGATGAACAAAGTCTTACGCGATAGTATATGACCTACCATAGCATTCGCTACGTACTTTATAATGTCGGCTTACTCAATTCTAGTACATTTGGGGAAGAATTTTGTTCACATCTAGGGGTTTTAGGTCGAGCGAAGGGAATTGGCAAAAAGCTAGAACATATATTACCTGATTTAGATGAGATAAAAAGAGAGACCGAGCGAACTTCTAGGGTGAAAAACGATAGAGAATGTTCCTTTCGATAATTCAACCTATTTCCTAGCCTTTCGGATCTCATATAGGCACATATGTGATTCTCCTTGTTGGAAATTTCTCCTTAACTTTTTTCATATTGTATTATATACTTTTTCATATTGTTTCATTGAATGGTGTACGAATACAGCAATGATAATTTAATATTCGGGCAAGACAATGATTTTTTTTTTTTTTGTGAGATTAGAAGTTATTTAAAGCAATAGTGACATTTAAGCTGTACTGTAATAATTTCACGAAGCTTCATCTATTCAACTATATGTTTTCTTTTAATTTTCATAAAATAGAAAGTTGAAATTCGTTTAATGAATTTGAAATTGTATTTATATATTTTTTTCGATGTAATATTAGAGTGAAATTCTTATAATATACAATGGAGAAATTGAAAATATCTTTCCTATTTTACATTCGTTCTCATTTTAAGAGGGTTTTTATTAAATTACTAATTTGACAATAAGATAGTGCATAAACTTGAATAATTAGCTCGATTAAAATTAAGTTGGATAATGTGCATCTGACTAATTGTGTTAGTTTTTTATATAATATAATATTTTAAAATGTTTCAGATACCATGATAGTCACTATTACTAATATTAATAATAATAATAATAAATAAATAAAACGATATTCCGTGCTGTAAAAGAACAATAAATTCAATAAAATTGTTATGATAATTATTTATAATGTTCTATAAAAAGTTGTATATATCATCAAAAGAATGAATGATCAATGAAATTATAAATTATAATAAGAGTTGTTAAAAAAGAAAAAATTAATATCTTAAATCGTATATAATTACGTATCTTTTCAAAATTTGTGATTTTCATCAGTTTGACTTCATTAAATTTATTTAATTTTAGATAATTGAAAGCTTATCAAAATAAAACTTTAGTTTACCATAGTTATAATTTTTTTTAATTACTCGTCTGTTGATTGTATACATCTTTGCCTATTGCTAAATCTCATAAACATTCCAAAGTATATGAAATATCAAATATTTAACAAAACACCACAAAGAAATAAATATATCACAATTTGCCCGCGAAAAAAAAAACATAATAAAGTTCGAAATGCTTCCAGATTTTCGTCTATAATTAATATAACATTTGCATGCCTTAATGTAATAAAGCATCCTGTTGGAGCATCTAATACAAATACACGTCGCGACACGTGACAAACCTACGCGACGAAGATGTTCCCGGGTCTATAAAATTCGTGTAGCGTATTTTTCCTCGCGACCCGTTGATCGAATTCTAAACGTGTCTTTGGTTTTTATCAATTGAGCAACGGGACGAATGCATTGCATATACTATTAAGGTCCGTCCGCCTTACTTTACTTCGGTTGTAATAATACTTCGATCACGGCGCGTCTATTTATTTTGAGCGAACCATTTGTTTTCATTACATTTGTCTAATATGACAATTAAAATAACCTTATTTTACACAGGCAAACACATACCCACGGATACATGCGCTCAAACACACGTACAAACGCACACGCACAAACACGGACGCACACAATTCATATGTGTATACGGGCATCATGTAGCAATTGTCGTTGATTAATTATTAAAATAACTAATATATCGACTTTTTTTTTCCCAACGAATTATATGAAAAATTCCAATGTTTAGATATTGTTTACAGCTTGTAGAGAGATTGGCTGAAATAAGGGTGAAGCGATATAGCTTGTAATGAAAATTTATTCAAAAAAAAAATGACAATGTTATTCAATATGAAAAGATAAAAAATGTTATAGTGTACATTGACATCGCTGTTTATAAAAATGAGCAGCCGCGACATTTTATGCTCCTAATTTAATTTATCCCATTATAAAATAATTATAATTTTCTCGAATACCTGAGCTAGAATTAATGCTTAATGATTTTACTAAATTGGATTGGTTAGCTAATCACTTCGCTCCATTATTCATACTCCACCCATACTCCACCAACCCTAAACGTTGTTCGAATTATAATTGGTAACGCACGTGACTGCTTGTCTCGTCAAACGTTAGACAGTCGTTGTGTTTAGATTCGTGAGATCTTGACCTTAGCTGAATATAAAGCTCATATATTTTAATTCTTTCACTTTATCTTGCACAGCGTGTACAAATATTTAAAATCAGATTTAATTATTATCATTGGCGATTGGCTTTTACTGCAGAGTATGTTCAACGAGTGTGAAAGTGCGAAAAATAAATTGCACGTCTATTGTACTTTATCGGATTGAAATTTCATGGAATTCATATACGCTTGGCTTCATCTACTAGAATCGAGGTACATTTTCTTAATGAGAAGAGACATCATTACATCGATCAATTATAAAGATGCGTTAGATAATGTTGTGTAATAGCGATAAAAATCCATATGTGACGAGCCTTTCGAGACAACAATTACTTTAGATACAAACTGAATTTCGTATATCGTGATATTTCATTAGAATAATAATAATAATAATAATAATAATAATAATAATAATAATAGTACATGACATTACATCATTATAATTAATACTAATTTGTAAATTTATTTCAAAAATAAGAGTAATTTTTTTAATTAATTAATAAACTGGTATTATATTACACGAAATTTCTATTGAATAGCACTTCTGTGTACATATGCAGGTAAATAGTTTTTTTGTTTATCAGATTTTTCGTTTTGGTAATTAGTACGACTGTGGTATTCACTTATAATTTTTCATTTGGATGATATTCCACGTCAAAATTCACATTTAGCATTGAAAGTTCGAATATTCAAATGCTTGTAAAATGCTGCTTTCATAACTTCTAAAAATATTTTTGTTATTTGTGTGTATATTCATACTGCCATCCATTTTTGTCAGCTGCAAAATCGTTACAGACATTTATAAGTACAAGATATTTATTTTTTTTCTTGTTTTTGACTCTATATGATTAGTAGAATAAAATTAATAATTATCCTGCACAACTATGTATACTGACATGATTGGAACGAATAATTATAAATAAATGAGAAATTTATCACATTACATTAATTTAACACGATGCACAATACAAATTAATTTTATAAACAATACTACTACATACTACAGAATATCTTGAATTTACTTATTACATTTAATGTTTTTCATATTATGTTAAAATATATCCATATATAAGAACGTTTTACATGTGTTATAATTATAATTTTTTCCTTTACGCAGATAAATAAAATCTTAATCTTAATGTGAATATTTCCACTATGAAATATCGAATAATTTCTTTTGTTTTAAGAAAAAGATTATATTCTTTATAATAGTTATGAAGCTATTTATAAACACATATATTTCGAATTACTAAAACACGGCTTCTTAAAAGACGTAGAAATAAAAGAACGAATAACGAAATACTATATTTAAATTACTACATTTAGTTAAAATTCTGTTGCTAGGTGACGAAACAAATAATCGAGCCTAATTATTAGCAAATAACTGATAACTAATCCATATAAACAATTAATTATTGGCTAAAGCTTCAAATTGTTGCTGATACGATTTAATTTGAATATACTACGCTCTAAGATATTTCCAATAATGTACAATGAGAATAATGTGTGTTAAGATTCACGTACGAACATAGTATCCATTTAAATTTATGTATGACCGTCCCGTCCATTCGCTTGTCCGTACCTACAATTTCTGAATGGCTCTATTCATAAAAAGTCAAGTCGCAGCGAACAATATCAATACCTCCCATGCACGAATTTCTCGGAGCTACGAAGAAAGAGAGCAAAATATATTATCAGCCCTTGTTTTTCCTAGATATCGATTCCTTTGGGGCAGTACTTACAAAAAATGCCAGCGGCTGGAGTTTTGGCCAAGAAGCTCATCGCCGGCTTTCAGAAGGTGGCCGATGTACTGCTGTGCTTGCACTTTACCCTCGATCCGTACATTTACGTTTTACTAAGAATGCCTCGCCCGCGATTTCCGCTCCTGAAGCCGCTTTGTCGCATCTGTTGGCCAGTCAGAAGTCGTTCCAGTTCTTTTACAGGTAAGCGCATTATCACATAAATTATGCTAAACAATATATTATTTCTTTTTTTTTTTTTTTTTTTTTTCATCATATCGTCACACTCGTACAACGTTTATAAATTGAATTTACAGTTTTGATTGTCTATCTTGTAAGGAATAAGGAACTATTGGCTTTATGATAACACTTATTAATTAATTATGATGATTAATATTGTGTTCGATTCTTATTGCGAACGAGAAATTTCAAAGTCTTATGGAGTCGATAATTATTAAGTGCTTTGTGTTAGCAAGCATATTAATATTAAGCTACCCACTTCGTTTCATTTAAAGTAATAAAAAAAAGTTTTCAAGTCATATAAATTTTCAAGAACACACGCGCGCGCGCGTACGCAGCATGTTAATAACTTAGTATTCTATTGTGATTTTATATAAAAAATTTCTTTTAAAATGTCAGCATTATACAGTCCCCTTCGCCATCAATTATCTCCATTGACAGTCAATATAAAATTAATATATAAATGTTAATAGACATCGATCATCCATGCCATATCAAGTGCTGATGTATTAAAGAAACGAATTTTAATACTTAGAAAAGTACCAGTTAAGCAAATATATTTCTTGTAATATTAATAATTTCTATGTTGATTAATTCTAATTTTATGTGCGCACTACGCCGTGAATAGAACATTAATTTAACCCCTGAAAATTCAATAGGATAATCATTAGAAAAATACAATATAAGCGGAATAACGATCAAAGTGATTTCCAAATCGATTATCCACTACTAAACATTTAATCCAGCATTTGTACGATCGCGCGCCTCGGCCACTCCCACCCCCGCCAATCGCGCAAACCCGTGCTTACGTACGCATACTAATACAGAGACAAATGCTACATACCCATGCGACCAAACATTTATTCGCATTGGCACGCATACGAGCGCAAGCCCGCGCACATACATAATTTAAATAATTTAATAAACTATTCATTTACTGTTTGTTATTGAAATTCAATATTATTTGTTTAATGCATTTGAGTCAATGTTTACAATGTTAAATTGTAATCGGAGTTAATATGATGAAAGAGATTTTTTTTTACTTTTCTTAATAAGCAGGCTGTATTATTAATAATTAACAATAAATTGTTGATTTAAAATCATATGATATGGAACACTTAAGATATTTATTTTGAAATAAAATTATCTATTAACAATCTTTTCAATAGTTGAATATATTAAGATGTGTTTTCTTAACGGAAATTGTAATATTACCAATGAAAAATACATTATCTTCTTTTCTTTATATTTTTTCTTAATTTATTATACATTAACTATACACATCTAGAATTCTAACATATGAAATATTTTCTCAAAGTAAAAAACTTACCCTACCAACTTTTCTCTTTTCACGTGTATCTGGAATAAGGCAAATACAATAAAATCTGAAAAATTAAACAATAGCAAACTTTTAAAAATAATCACTTATTTAATAGGATAACCGGGGATAGTTAAAAGTAATTTTTTTTTACTTCTAAAGCAATTAATACTTAATTAAATGTCCTGAAATGTTGACTTTTTACATAAAAAATTCCATTAACTACCATGAATCACGTATTTCATTGTATAAAAAAATATTGTTCAAGTACGTCGAGTGCTTCTAGCGAATTTTCAAATTAATTATGATTTAAAGAGAGAAAAAAAAATAAAAGAAATTGTTAAATATCGAAATTTGCTTTGAAATATAATTGGCCTTGCCAAACTCGAGAAGTTACTTAATTATTCCAGTATCCCGGGGAATAATCGAACGGGACTTTGGAAGTTCATCGATGAATAACGCGAGTAATTATGGCAGACTCTTATATGTTATTGATAAAATCAATAGTGGCAAGTAGTTGAGGACCCACGAACCTCTCTCCTCGTACCTAAAACCTAGGTTTCGCATTAATATAGTTCGATAAGTGTGCGTGCATGTGTGTACATGTTGCAGGAACGACGGAGCAGCAAGGGAGCAGCGGAGACCCTCCGACCCCCATAACCGAAGCACCATCGACCCCCGTGAGCGAGGAACGAGATTCTCAGTTGGTGGCCGTCGCGGTTTGAAGGCGAGAGGCGACGACGCCCTCGTCACCGAGGTGGCGGCAGTCTTGCAGTAAACGACAAAAGTCTGACTCGTGATATTCTTTGTTGTGCATTATTTTTCACGCTCTCGATTCGGAATTTCCCAAAGTGAAGTTGGAAAGACAATATCGTTTGTTCCGCCGTCTCCTCATATTTTCATATCCTCATTCCAGATTCTCTCTCTCTCTCTCTCTCTCTCTCTCTCTACTGTTACCAGTACCTCTATCTTTTTCATTCTCTAAAGTAACGACATTTTTCCACGGAGACGTAGAGAAGTGGATTGAATTTTTTTATCGCGTGAAATGTGTATCTATACAGAATGAATATGATGTCCTATGTAAATGGAATTTCATTTTAAAAAAAGAAGGCAACTTTGAAAATTGTCTTTGGATGTAGAAATTTAGGAAGCCTTAATTGTCAAATCTGTTTATCCGTATCTACTGTTTCAGCAATTTAAAGTTATAATTTGCATATTAATTCATCCGGCATATAAAATTATAAATTAAATTTCAAAACATTTTTAATATTCATTTTAAATATTATTGAATATTTGAAATTTGTTCCGTTTATATTTAAAATCGTCAATCAATATATGTTAATAGACTATAAATAATTTTACATGTAATAAAATATGTGTGCTAAGTATTATGTCATAAAAAATGTTCACATATTTTACATTTTTCTATTTTATTAACATATTCGCTATTAATTATGCGTAAATGTTGTTATTCTTCATATAGTCTGATTTTATGATGATATTATAATGTACTTAGATACCAGTGAGATGAAAATATTATTCTTAATGTGCGACAAATCAAAACTTTTACTCAAATTTTCTTTGTGATTTTTCATAAAAGTCTAATTCTTATAAATATCTAAATAAATACAATTTACATCATTATTCAGTAATTTATGGTATGAAAATTGCTAATATTTTCACTCAATGCAATACTTTTCTTTAAAAATTGCTTATAGCATGTTTTTCATTTATAAGGTTGTAATCCTATCAGATATATTACAAAATGAGTGTAAATTATAGCTTCATAGAAACTAGAAATATTTTTGTACGATTGTAAATATGAATTTAAATATAAACATGTATATTATTGCAAAATTAATTTTTGTGTCTTAAAAATTACCGATTACAGAGTTTCAATCTCTGCTAACATCAATAATGACATAGAATTTAAGATATATTTGATTACTACATGATTTTACATTAATACAAGAAAGCTTTTTTTTGTTAATTCATTTCATCGTATCTTTAATTATGATTACCTAGTTATAATATTGTATAAAAGAGTATTAAATATTGTCATACGAATTTATAAAATTTGGAAAATAAATATGTAAAATAAAATAATGTTAAAGGAAAGATTTTAAATATATAAATCGCTTGATACTTAAAATAATTAAGAAAAGTTCAACATTCCACATATACATTCATTAATGTAAATTTGTGATTAGTTTTTTAATTTTTATTATTAAAAGTTTGAAATTTAAGATAATATTAAATCGATATATTAATTTATCGTTAATATAATAGTTATTAACAATATATCATTATAACATTTTAATATAAAGATAAAATTAGTAATTCTATATTTCTTATTTTGTATGATTTAAATTATCATTTAGTTTTATTTTTTTATACATTACGTTAGGTTGAGCATTGTATTAAAGTTTACTGATTATTACAATAATAATCGTAGTGCTAAATAAACAATGTGAAGCTTCGCAATAGTCAAAAATGACTTTAAAAACAAAAAAACAAAAAAAATTAAAAAGTTTGTTTTTAATATGTAAGGATACAAAATAAGACCATTAATTTGTTTAACGATCCATTGAATAAAGATAATTCCATGGTAATAGTGACAAAAGTGTTTTGAAATGAAGTTTTTGCTTTTAAATATTTTGAAATTCTAATAAAATTTTGTAAATTTTCTAGTCAGTAAATAAAGTAATTTACAAAAAAGATATAAACGTAATTGGGATTATATTCACTGAACTATATGTATATCATAATTATATTTATATTATTATGGGAAAATCAACTTTTCCCAAAACTTTACTTATTTTTAAAGCAACACGCTTATCATACTTTTTGCCAGAGTCACAACAGAGAAGTGAATATCTTTATATATTATATAAAATATTTAACAAAACTCTTTACTATTAATTTTTTGAGACATATATTATTGTTGAAAAATCATCAAAGTAATATTAAAATCGAAAATATAATAGTGTAAGAGAAATATCCCATATTCGTTGAAGAATTATGAAGAACTATGTTCGCATGTTGTATTGACAATTGAATTACTTAAGACTTGTAAAAAGTACAAGCTATTTCTTAACTATATTTTTTCGATATTAATCTAATCATTAACCATAATACTAACAATTTTCCAAAGTCTTTTTAATAAATATCTCAAATGACTTATTTTATTATAAGTTATGCTTATGCTCTATACTTGGAATAAAAATGTATGATACTTAATTTTTATAAATGTATTAAGTTCTATTCGTTATTATTATATGGAAACTTATAAAATAGTAAAATAGAAATAAATAATTTTGAAGTAGATTATGTGTCATAAAGTTTTTATTTATCCTAGTCATTCCAATTAATTGTTTCAATGAGTCATAAATACTTTATTTTTAATTTATTTTTCATTGTATATTTTCTTATAATATCAATAAACAAAATAATAACAGTACAATATGTAGACTATTATAATTATCATTGTATTTAATTATAAATTTGAGCATGTGAATATTTGAATTACAGAATTTTAAATAATTAAATAACTATAGAAAGTTTAAATAATTTTTTGTGATAGTACGATAGTGCTTTTAAAATATTGTAAAACTTGATTATAAATGTTGAAATAAATCATATCTCAGATCGATAATTTAAAAATAATTTACAAAATTAAATCATTATAAAATATGATAAATTTAATGTGAATGTGTGAGAACATTGTTTATATTGTTAAATTTTGTTTAAATTGTTTAAATTTCACTGGAAGTCATATCAATATATATATTATTTTTTTATATCAAATATAAAAAATTCTTTAAAGATAATGGTTTTTATTTTTTTTTTATGTTCATTTAAATTTAAGGATTTTAAAGGATTAAATTAATTATTTAGTTAAATGTAATGATGTTTTAAGGATTTTTCTCCCAGGAAAATTAGAGTCTGTACTATATCTCGTAGAAAATCATGTTATTAAGATTTGCAATTGCGAGTTACGTACAATCATCAATAGTAGGCAATAATTTAATTCATTGTTGGTAATCATTGATGTGGTTTACCTTTGATTCTCTGTGTTATCGGCAATAGGAATACAATTTGTCCGAAGAAATGTTCTACGCATAATTTCCAAATTTTATTTTACTTGAGCATTTATTGTTTAATTATCAAGACTACGTTATTCGCATAATGTCGGTTTTACTTTCATTATGCACAACATCGTGCATTTATTCACAATTGTAATGCATTTACGGAAATTACGATTATGGTAATTAAGTTTGTGTATTTCATAAAATTCTTATGACATTACGTGAAATATCTAAAATTAAAAGAAATTTTGATGATAATAATATAAGAAATAAGTTAATTTACGATAGGAGATTCTTCATTAATTTTTTTAGTCTTAATATGATCTTGGTGCATTGAAAATGCAAATCCGTTTGGAACTGGCTGCATATATTTTAAAAATAACTTGCTAATGAGATTATAACAGTACAGCAAATATTTATGTATTTGGGTTTCATTTACATAAATAATTTATGCACAGAATATAAGAAGTTTATTAATCATCATAAATATACGTATAAACAAATATGTATAATAATTTACGATCGAAAAAAGTCAAAGTTTATTTATTAAATTTTATACAAACGAATAAGAAGAGTAACACATTGACTCTCGACTATGATGCCAGTTCTTTTAGTATAATTATACTAATGTGTATGAGGATATCATAATGCAACGAGCTATATTATAGCGTAGTAATTATTTATACAAATTACAATTACTTACGCTAGTGGACAATAACAGTTACAACACAATACCATACACACACACGCGCGCGCGCGCGCACATATATATCTAAGATGGATCGTTTTAATGAATAAATAGAAAAACCGAAACTTGATATAATCCGATCATTTAGCTCGTATAGTCTATCACACGTGATCCATGCATATATGCAACGGCTTTTTTTCTCTTTTTTTTTTGTTTCAACTAATGTAAAGCTATTTAAAAATAAGAATAATATTTGATAGCTGAGTATCTTACACTGTATATTACGCTAATGTTATGCGCGTGAGGGTGATACATAGGGGCGGGGGGACTAAGTATAATAAAGCGAATCCTCTATTTGCATTGACGAATAACTTATCACTAAATTATTTTTCTCCTTTATTCAAAGACGAGATTACAAGCTTTTCAATATTCCTCAATCTAATTTCTCATGCACTCTTGCATTTACGTATATTATCTGCACGGGCACTCGATTACTTTCATTCGCTAATAAGTATTATACACCCTCCACCTTCAATACAATACGTGTCCGCGATAATTTTTACGATAAAAAAAATCGAGGCGGCCCGCGCAAGCCCACAAGCTGAGCTGTCGTGAGTCCACGCAGTTGTTTTGATCTGAAAATGGAAGTGTCTGTTGTTGATTATATGGTTATATGTTAAACAATCACTGGATCATTCGCAGATATTATTATAATATTAAAGCGTTTAAAGGGAGATAAGGACAGATAAGAAACTGACAAAATGCTTGAGCAAATATGTAGAACGTGCCTTGCCACGTGTGGTGAATTAGTGCCGATTTTCTCGGACGAATATTACGTACACGATTTGCCCGATAAGCTACTTCATACTACTAAAATTGAGGTTAGGAACGATCAATGCACTTTCAATTATATAAAATGTGCTGTTACATCGATATTACGATATGTTTTTATGGTATTGCAAATAGATACGATGATTGTGATTTATGAAGGTCACTTTATAAATCGTTGTTGTATACAGTGCTTTTATAGTGTATAAAGATTGTAATGCAATTGTGTGCACGATAACCTGAATGGAATTTTATTTGGCATGAGTCAATTAAATTTTTAAAATTGTTTTAGGTGTTAAGGGATGACGATCTGCCAAAAATGATGTGTAAAAAATGTATATTTCTTGTAGATTCATTATATTGTTTTAAAGACCAATGCGAAATGGCAGAAATAAAATTGAAAGAGACGCTGAAGAAAACAGTTGGTGACCATGGTCTTTTATCGAATAATGTATCTGCTATTGACGAAAGAAGTTGCGATTCGTATAATATCGAAGAAGGTAAATGCTATGTAATTGTGAAATTGTGCCTAAAGTAGCCGTTAATTGTTAACAAAGTATTTTAAATTATATTTGTAAAACAAAAGGATTTTATATATAAAAATTTTAATTTCAAGAATAACAGAACATATAAATTTAAAGCATTCAGTTATATTTTACTTAATATTCGAATAGTTTATTATATAAGAGAGAGAAGAAAATATATTAAAAACTTTGAAAACTTGTATGTTACTAGCGAGCATAAATTTAAGTATAGTCGAAGTTTTCGTATAACAATTTTAAACTCATTGTTGAATTAATTGCCTAAGAAAATTGTATTTTGCTTTAAAAAACCTTGCACAGAGAACAGTTTCATTATGCGTTAATGTTTATTCGTTTATGAATCAAAACAATTTTTAATAATAAAATATAAAATTTAATCAACAATATATTTTAATAAAAAAATTATTATTTGCAATTAGTTGAAATTCATTCGGATGAAATAACATCTAGCGAGGAGGAGTACCATATAGAGTATGTCTCGGAAGAAGCAAGATTAGAAGTGGAGAATGCTCGAAGACGAAGTCGCAATGCTAGAAAAAGGCGTAATAAATACTCTATTAATGCTAAAGTTATATCGGTAAATGTTGTACCTCCGGAGTCAAGAAATAGTTATGATAATATGAAAATAGCTTCGTCATCTAAATGTGATGTTATAGACATCAACGAGGTATTACTTCATACATGAATGCCAGTTAACACATATGTGCGTTTCATTAAATTAACAAAATATTTTCATTTTTTAGGATGATATTTCAACGGATAACTATAATAAAAATTCATTATTTACATCCCAAGGATTAAGAAAGTTTGCAAATAATACTTTAAATAAAAAAGATCATTATATTATTTCTGATAGTGCAGAAGATATTAATTTTTTAAAAGATCAAGTGCATGATAATTTGGAAAAGTCTTCGGTGCAAACGAAAGCAGGACATAAAAGAAAATTAGAAAATAGTAACAGTATAAATGAATTATTAAAAGTGCCAAAAAAAGTAATGTTTAAAGAAAATGATTATAATGTGGAAAATATAGAATTTATTGAAGTGTCGGAAAATGAAATGAGTAAAGCTAATGAAAATGTACATGGCAATGCGACCGATGATTTGAATTCTGTTTTGAATTTTAATCTGAGCCAAAATAATACCGAAAAAGATTTTCAGCACGATGATGGTTTAGAATGTAGCAATAGTCATATTTCTGATGTTCTGTCAAATTCATTATCAGTCAATGAACATTATGATAATGCATTATCCGATAGTGACGCCGAAAAAATAATCGAGCTTAGAATGCAAAATTTATTGAAAAGGATAGTTTTAACAATTCCAGAAGTCTGCACGGAATGTTCACAAACCTTTGAAACTCACTTAGATGTCTTAAAACATAAAATTGAAACGCATTTGAGCTTTTACGAGGATCATTACTTTTGCCCAATTTGTCAAGAGAAATTTTTCACCAATTACTATCTTATTGACCATCTAATCGAACACAAAGATATTGATTCATACGTTTGTACTCTTTGCTTTGGCAATTTCTATAATGAAGACACCGTAAGGTACACATTTTTTACGTTCAACTTGAAAAGTACCGTAATTTAAATATTATAATCGTTATAATTCTTTTATAAATATTTATAAAAATAAAAAGTAAAATTTGTGCATATTTGTACAAATTTTTATGCATATTATGTAACGATACAATATTGATTAATTTATATAAATTAAAAATATTATAGTTAAACAATTAAAAAATATAGTAAAAAAAAAAAATAATTATTAAAAACATTATTAAATAAAAGTTTTACAAATGCGTAAATAAATAATTAAATTTTAACTTTTAAAATTGTTTCATATCTGGACAACATTAAGAGATCATTTACATTCGCACGTGGATTTGCGGGACATGAGATGCCAAATTTGCTCGAAGAAATTCGTTCGAATGCAAACTCTTTTGAATCATTTGGATGAGCACATTACTAGCAAATCGTTACTATGTCATCTATGTACAGATAACAACTTTAAAAGTAAAGATGAGCTTCAGAATCATATACATCAAGAACATAAAAATTATACGCGAGAAATGCATTTAACATGTGAAACTTGTGGATTAGAAGTACCTGAGAACGAAATGAAAGAACACGCAAAAACTCATAATAATTATCCTTGTCCCTACTGCGAGAGGTCTTTCACTACAAAGACAATTCTCAGGTTGGTTTTCATAAATAATTCTATTATAAATTTAGATGAAAGGAAAACGAATTCAAATAAGTTAAATACAATCGTACAACAGCGCGCGTCGAAAGTATTATATTTCACTATTAAAAAGTTTGCTCACAATCCAAGCATGGAACATTGAAAGCGATTATTAAATTTCTAAAAAGTGCCCCTTTGCCACATTGGAAATACGATTAAAATTTCATCGGATTTTTTTCAGGGATCATGTGCTGACACATCTCGGTGTTCAGCAATTTTCATGCCTCGTGTGTAACAAGACGTTCGTTACGCAAGACGAGAGGACGTTACATATGCAAGAACACATGAAGCCTCAGCAAAAGAACGAACAAAAGAAATTTAGGTGCCGGGTTTGTCATGAGATCCTCTTGTCGCGGATTGCGTACGGCCAGCATCTCAAGGAAAAGCACTGGAGTGCTAAGCAGACGAGTGAAATATTGCAAGAGCTATCCGAGTCTTCTCTGAATGAGAAAGTCAATGAGCAACTTAACAAATGTACATCATCCACTTCTGAGCTCATTAGCTAAACAAAGAGAGACAAACTGTTATCCAACAGACATTGACTATGAGAATTCGATGTCTCTGAAGTACAATCCCCACTATAATAGTGGCTTGAATCATAATTCAAATGAACGAAAGATTATTTTTTAAATAACATATCAGATTTATTTATACCAGTCAAAACATAGATTTAACTTCATTTTAACTATAACTTCAAAACTAGAATAGAATATTATGCGCAAAACAATTGCCGTAATGTAAAAAAAGATTGGTTTCTTTCAACTTATTGGCTACTTTAATAGAGTTATAATTTGAAATAAAACTTGGTATAAGCTGGTGTACAAAATTGTTCTAAATACTTAGATAATGACCAAAAACATAATTTAGATCGTTGGTATTTATTTAAATAATTGTACAATAAAAATAAAACAGTTTCATAGTCTTTTAAAGTATACGAAGGTTATTAAAACTATTTACAACAGTGATTTAATATTAATAGAGCTAACTTTGCAGAAGTAGTTTTAACATTCTCTGTACAACTATTTCGCTACTGATTATCTGTAGTTTGGTATTAAACACCAGAAAAATTATATTAATAGTTGTTAATAAGATATTATTTTGATAAACAATTTGATTTATTTTTCTAATACATGTATTTCATATTTCATACGTATTATATAAAATATTAATATTTATTATAGAGAAATTATTAGAAGTATTTTTAATAAATTTTTTTGCGTAACAAATGTTAATGTTTTTATAATCGAACGTGTCATTCGAGTGACAAAATAAATGTTAAAATGATTTGTTTCATTAAGATCATTAAAAATTTCTATAATTCAACAAATAAATGAGTAAACAATAATATATATATATATATATATATATATGTATAATGAAAATATGAAAATTAACAACTATTAATATGTTCATAAACTATTAAAAAAAAAATTAATCTTGATGAATAATGCTTTTTTTTTTATTGGATTTTTTAATACTGATTTATTCATTCTCTGTATTTACAACACTTAGGGGAATAAGTATTTTCTTTATATTTTATATTCGCCAATGTTTATTTAACTTATTCATGCTTTAATATTTTAATTCTAATAAAGCCTATGATACAATTATTTCGATATTTTTTCCATATTTTTATAAATATAATTCCTTAAAAAATGATCGGAAAATTAAAGAATTTTGAAATATAATTAAAGGAAGAAAAATTATTTTTGAAAAATAAATAGATTTTTCATTTAAAAATATGATGATATATATATATATATATATATATATATATATATATATTGCAATTATAAAATATTTTTTAATCACTATATGCATTGATAATAAATTCAATTTAAAAAAAGAAGATTTAAATCATTCTATAAAAATATAAAGTGGTTGAGAAAATAAGTATTTAAAAAATTTCTTTTTACAATGGAAATTGTTAAATATGCAAATATATTAATAAAAGATTTGATTTTATATGACAGTTTCTAAGATCTGAATGAAAATCCAAAACTGGTTTATTCTGTAAATTATTTAGACATAATTTTTTTTAACGATATTCGTTTTAGGTAAATTTTCTTTTTGTGCTCATAACGATGGCTAATACTTACCCATATTTACACTTAAAAGTGAATTAGAAAATAAATAAAATATTTTTTCATATAAAATATTGTTAGTTTAATACTTGATAGTTTTAGTAAGTTATAACATGAATATATAGCGTTATATAGTATTAGATAAAGTTCGATATATATATATATATATATATATATATACATAAGTATTATACAGTAAGATTTTAAACGTTTGTTCGCCTTTTTTGTGACATCGAATTATTTTGAGCGTTAAATTTGGTTGGTAACGTAAATTAACGCGTTACTTGAACATTGCAACAAATAGGATACTGATTTTACTCTCGTACCAATGATTTTTGTGTGTTTTGTTGTGATAATATTTCAGTGTTTGATCAAACGGTCGCCCCAAATCCAAGCAGCTTCCGGTAATATTTACCGAAATGACTTTCTTATCCATTTTCTTTTCTGGGTTACGATTGCTAAATTTCGGATATTTATCGCAGTTGTTCTTGGACTTGGTGCAGACACTCCTCTTTCTCTGGTTGGATTTAAGTATTCGAGTAGATTTAAAATTGTGCCGGGATAAATGTGAATCACCAACACACGCGACAATAGTCACAATTATATTAATTTCCTTTCAAAATAGTATATTAACAAACCAATTAATTTTCTTATATAAGCAGAAGTCTTTTCTATAGTTTTATGTTCCTTAATATAATAGAATTTCAATTTCAATTTTTAATCGTTTACCTCATAGCAAACGACATTGAAAAAAATGTAGAACATTAAGCCTTTCACATTATACAGTTTAAATTTATTGGATTTAAGTTCCGTAATAATTCAATAATTAGTAATTAAAATTAAAATTAATAATAAGCAGATTTTTGGTACAAAATATCAATCGTGAAAATAAATCATCGAATACTAATTTTAACTTTTATTCGAATTGAGTTTTTGCTCGTATAATTCGTGTAAAATAGTCTATTAATGAAGTATGTTAGTTTGAATTGAAAGTATGGAATGTTCACATTTTACTAATGAAGTTGATGATATATTTTTAAACTGTATTTTGTGTATGAATTAATTATTATAGACTTTTTTAGTGATATTGAGAATTTAATATACATAAACACAAACAATAAATTATATTAATTTATTATTTATTATAAAGTTATAAATCTTAACTTTTTGTGTAAATCATGTACTTATAAAAAAAATATATGAACTTTTTCTAAAAAAAATTTTTCTTTCGTATTTTTTATTTATTTATAATTTTTGGCTTTATTTTTGCTTTATTTTATCTGTATTATTGTTTTTTTTTTCATTAGAATTTTATCTACCTTTCTATATAATAAACTATAAACAAAAAAGTATTATGGCATTTTTTAAGTATGATTTTTCTTAAGAAAATTACAAGATTGTAAATAATATAAATGTGTCATTGCTGATTATCTACATTTCGCAATTATCAAAATTTCTTTTTATATTTTACATTAATTACTCGGGCTGTATGGGCTGCAAGTAATATAACTCCTGTACAGAATTTTTATCCAATTGGCGAACAAAATTTTTCGAATTTTCGTAACAACGATTGTAAACGTAATAACATATTTTCATTGAAAGGGTAAAATTATTATGATACATAATATTGTAGTAATCACCATTTTAATTTTACTATTTTAATAACTACTATTCAAGCAAACATAATTTATTATTTCTATTACCTTTATTTCTAGTTCTATTACCTAGCTGAATTTTACATGTTAATTAATTAATATTAATTATGGAATTTCTGTATTACACGCATATGCAAACATTTTTTTAAGTCGGTAAACCTGAATTCTAATTTTATATATTAGTTTTCTTTTTCAAAAGACATTAAATTATAAAATCCACTTTTCAAAATCCTATTTCAAAATACTATTTCCGTAATTTAGTTAATTTGTATCTAACTAATACAATAATACATTAATCGCTATTATCATTGCTACAATATAATGCAAATATTTCTTGTCAATTTAATTTCTACTTTGATTAATCTATACATTTATACAAATACATTGTTATTGTATTTTTCCAAAGTTTTCATTCCAAAGTTTCAATTTGATCGATTGTAAAGTATAATATAGTTACGTTTATATCTAAAAATAATCATTGCATTTTGTACTGAACAAACATTGTTCTGTATAATAATTACATAAAATAATATTATTTTGCAGAAAATTTTCTATATTACATCTGCATATTAACTGTATAAACATTTTTAATAAATCTCTCTTACGGTTTAAAACTTGATAATAAATAATTTTATAACTTTAACTATATTTATAACTTAAATCATTATTAATTGCCTTCGTATTGTATAATATAATAAAGACAGATCATTGATAAACATTTATTATAAATCATAATTTTAATAATAAAGAAAATTCATTAGGACCGCTAAAAAGATCAGTAACATCCGTGTGTCTCCGGAAACTCCCCACAGAAAGTTAAGAAAGCATATATATGTCCTCTTCTGAAATGTTTCGGATCGATTTTCAAGTGCTTTTTTTATAATTCTTTCTCTTTAATTTATATTAAATTGCATTTCTTGAGTGCATTGCTTTTGGCTGCACTCCGATACTTACGTAAAATATATCAAAAAAGCATATACGAACAATTGAACGTGACAGTGACACAACTATATCTAATATGCAAAACTATGTATAGTTATATCTTCACGATATTGGGTAAATATGTTTACATTGCTTACATCAATATTTGCAGCGATTACAAGAATATTAATATAAACTTGGAGTAATGATACTTATCAAGGATACATGCGCTAATTCACGAAGCTATTAAAGTATATCGAGTGTTAGAAGAAATAGAAGAAGTAAATTATGAACATTTTGTATAATTATAATATGGGCTCGTTATGATGCATTTATTTCTAAAATTATCCCTCAGATCAGTTAATGATACTTGTAACCGATACTTTAATCACTATAGCATCGTTCTCTCGTTATTATCTCCTTAACGAGTTATTTTTTTATTCCGACTGATTTCTGTTCTCGTACTGAATAGAATGGCGATTACTTTCGCACTTACCATTTTTATGTTTTTTTTTTCTTCTTTCGATCAGGGATTTAATGTAATAGCCTAAAACTCCACTCAAGTGCTTAGCCTTCATACGTTTAGCTTTCATTATTAGTTGCTGATCCGGCGTCAGTTGGCTGATTAAGTTTGGTAAAAGGTTCGCTGCTACGATTCCAATTGCGGATTTACTTTACTGCATTCATTCGTATGCTGCTACGTTTGTATTTTATCTTTTTTCTTAGCAATCTTGCTTATTAGAGAATGTCACACCCGTTTGCGACAGTACGAATTTACACGAAGATTATCGTGCCGGTTGTAATGTATTTTGTAGTGATTCAAAGATTTGAGCTTAATTGCTACTTGATCGTTGCGTTCTCCTTGCGTTTACCTTCTGTCGTGCATTTAAATATAAATTTGAAAGATCCTTATCGAAAATTCGAAAATGAGACGCACATGCAACTTAGTATTTGCAATACACATTCAATATATAGTATCGTCGATAATTTAATCATCGATATTTTTTATAAGACGTTAATAACATAAATTAAGAAAATTTTCTGTTTCTAGCAAATTTCTAAATTAGTTTATCTTAAAATCCTAACTTTATTTAACTATGGCTGTGAATTCCATTGTTGTAGCTCAAAATCATTCAGTCTTTACAATATGATACAACTTACCTGTGTCTATTATAATAATGCATTTTCAGAAGGCAGATTTGAATTACTTTTATCATTAAAGTATTCTCTAATGATAGCCACAATAAGCTTTCATTATCATAATAATCTTAATGCAATCGAAATAACAAATTTGATCGCCTTTATTACATGATTATTTAGATTTAAATTTCTGTAAGCGATTAGTTTACGGGCCATTGGATTCTTCTACTTTGTAAAAATGTAGAACATTTA